CCATTAGCATCAATGTGACATCTGGTGGGGTGGGGTGGGGTGGGGGGAGCGCAGCGATGACACACACATTTCACCCAGGAAGCCTCTGTTTAGGCTAAAGAGTGGCATATGCAAATGCAGGTAGTGGAGACGGGACATGAGGCCAAAATGGTCTGCCTGGCTGTGTGTAAGTTCTACACACACACACACAACAAAATAATTGATTGTGTGTGCCGGGGGAACGCACATACCATGTCATGTATGTGGAGATCAGAGGACAACTTTCAGGAATCAGTTCCTTCCTTCCATTATGTGGGACCCAGGAATCGAACTCAGTTCCTCAGGCTTGGCAGCAAACACTTTCACCCACCAAGTCATCTCCCTGAGCTATTTCATGGGCTCCTCTAAGCACTTTTGATGTCTGGAGAGACTTATTCATCAATGCCACAGAGAGTCAACACACATATCGACAGAAGTGCAGGTATTGTTCTCTGTGGTGCTGTTGGGTAATTATGACATCATCAGTAGGAATTAGGGTGCATTAGTGACTGTATTCCCAGCTACTTAGCAAGTTGAGGCAAGAAGGCTGCTTAAAGCACTTGGGAGGCAGAGGCAGGCGGATCTCTGTGAGTTCGAGACCAGCCTGGTCTACAAGAGCTAGTTCCGGGCTGGAGAGATGGCTCAGAGGTTAAGAGCATTGCCTGCTCTTCCAAAGGTCCTGAGTTCAATTCCCAGCAACCACATGGTGGCTCACAACCATCTGTAATGGGATCTGGTGCCCTCTTCTGGCCTGCAGCATACACACAGACAGAATATTGTATACATAATAAATAAATATTTAAAAAAAAAAAAAAAGAGCTAGTTCCAGGACAGGCTCCAAAAACCACAGAGAAACCCTGACTCGAAAAAACCAAAAAAAAAAAAAAAAAAAAAAAAAAGAAGGCTGCTTAAGCCCAGGTGATTGAAGCTATCCTGGGCAGTATAATAAGACACTGTCTCAAATATACTATCGTTGATGGAATTGTCCAGCTTCTCAATCTCTCTGCATTTCTCTCTCTTTTAAGTTAATACACACGTCTTTAAGACTTTTTAAAGAACACTTATGTATTTACTGTATGGGTGTGCATGCGCCATGTGTGTGGTGGACAGAGGTTTTCTCCTTCTTCCAGGGTTCTGGACCTTGAACTCTGCACATTTTGGAGACAACAGCCTTCATCTGCTGAGCCATCTCGAGGACCCTGTCTCAGGTTTCCTCGTCTCCACGTAACTGCTTGCCACTGCTATTTTAGTGACGCTTACTTGATGGATCGATTTACAAAATGGTTTAGGGGTTAGAGATGTGGCTCAGCAGTTCAGAGCGCTGCCTGCTTTTCCAGAGGACCTTAGCTCAATTCCTATCACCCGCACGACAGCTAATAACCATATAACTAAAAACTCCAGTTCCAGGGAACCCAATGCTTTCTTCCACCTCCTCTGTCACGGCATGGATGTGGTACACAGACATACATGCAGACAAAACAGCCATTCTAATAAAATAAGAATCAATAAATCTAAAAATAATTTAAAAAAGATTTAGTTAAGTCAGATGTAATGTTACATACCTGTCATTCCAGCTCTCAGGATTTTGGGGCAATATGATGGCAAGTTCCAGGCTAGCCTGGGCTACATATCAAGATCCTATCTTAAAACAAACAAACAAAACCTTCCTCACAATTAGTGAGTCCTTTAATTCCAGCACTTGTGAAGCAGAAGCAGATGGATTTCTATGAGTTTGAAGCTAGCCTGGTCTACACAGTGAGACCCTGTCTCAAAACTAACAAACATAACCAAAATCTCACGATTATTAGATTGGCACGGTGTCCCACAATCCCGGTACTCAGCAGCATGTGGCACGGGGATTATGAGTTCGAGTATAGCCTAGGTCGTTTAATGGTATCCTGTTAAAGAAAGGAAGGAAAGAAGGAAGGAAGGGTGGAAGGAAGAAAGAAAGAAGAGGAAAAGTTTGGAAACAGGTCACATCTCCTTGACAGATGTGGTTTTTATAGAATATTTTTGTCGTGAAGGGTTTCTCACATTCGTGTTCATTGCCTGTCCGTGGGCAGATAAACAATCCCACTCTGTGAAAGTCATAAAAATAAAAAAAAAAAGAAACTGGGTGTGGTGGCTGGGGATGGATCTTGTTGGTTTTTCATCTCTAAAGAAATAGAGAAAAGAAGAAAAGTTTGGGAGGCCAGAAAAGGCGGCCGCGCAGAAGGCAAAGAGGGCAGGCAGGTGGCGTGCTGTGAGGTTGCTGCGGGGCCTCTGAGGTCCCTCACCGTCTTTATCTCGACTGGATCTGAGAATAACCGAGAGCCGGTTAAGTGGGGCAGTGCCTTGCTTGATTCCTCTGTGGTGAGGGGACCTTTTGAAGAGTCCTTTCTTCTTGAGCCTTCCCAGCATGTGAGGCCATTTTTGAACTCTGCATTGGAGAATTAGGGCTCACGAGTCCTACTTTTTTGAGATTTTTTTTTTTTTGGTGTAGAGTTCCTTGTAAGTTTTTAAAAGAAAATCTCTTATTATAAATGGGTCACACTCCAACCTTCGGCCCGAGGCCTAGAACTGCTCACATTTTCGGGGCATAAGGAGATTATATCTGGGTCCCAGTGTTCTTGAATTCTTAGACAGTTGTCTTCGTAACCCTAGCTACCCATCAGTGAGCTCAAAGGGAGTGAGGCAGGAGGATGGAAACTAGTGTCGGAGGAGGGTTGTCTTCTTCTTCCTTCTTTTACATTTATCTCCTTCGCATGCATGCACGTGCGTGCTCCTGTGTGTATGTGTGTTCAGGAATACAGATATGCACGTGCCGGGGTTCACACATGGAGGTCGGAAGACAGTTTGCAGCACTCGCTGGTTTTCGCTCCACCACGTCAGTCCTGGGAATAGAACTCACACCCTCAAGCTGGGCGGCAAGCGCCTTTCCCCATCGAGCCATGTTGCCTGTCCTCAGCTGAAGTTTAGGCCACAATCTCAGTATAGAACTATCTTGTTTGGATCTCTAGGCTAAGTTAACCCAGTGCTGTTGATGCTGTTTCCCTTTGTCCTTTTAATTTTGTCATTTTGTTGTTGTTGTTGTTGTGTGCTGGGGATTGTGCCCAGGGCTTCACACATGCAATGTAAGTATCCTACCACCCAGCCAGTCCTCTGGCTCTCACTGACCAATTCTATCCAGCCTGGAGAACACTTGCCTAGAATGCTCGAAGCTCTGACTTGGAATCCCAGCCCTACACACACACACACACACACACACACACACACACACACACACCCCAGAAATAAATAAGCCCCCAAATCCCAACTGGAGGGAGGGGGGCTTTATAGGAGGGTCTTTAAAAGTGGCTACAGAGAGTACATACGTAACGAAAGAACCTCGGTTCCTGGGGACCTGATGTCTAAATAGGGCTGGGCACATGAATGCAAACATGGTTATAGGCTGGAAACGACAACTTGAAAGAGATCCCACTGATGGCTTTGCTGGGCCATCCCAGAGGGAAGTACAACCTGATCTGGGGCTGGAGAAACAGAGAGCAGAGGTAGAAAGCGGTGGGTGGGGGTCCATGATGGAAGGAATGACAGGAATAGATTCGAGAAACAGCGATGGACAGCAGCTAGGTCTTTGGGTGTGGGTGAGAAGTGTTTGATGGATCTGGATCCCTGTCTCAGCTTCTCTCCCTTTCTCCTCCACCCTTTTCTTCCTCTTGTTTTCATACATCCCAGGCTGACCTTGAACTCACTATGTAGCAGAGGATGACTTTGAACTCTTGGTCTTCCTGCTTCTACCACCTAAATGCCTGGCTCAAGCCTGGTTCTGCTTCTGAGACACAATCTCATTCTGCTATCTAACTCCTAACCTTCAACAAGTGCTAGGCTTACAGGCACGCCCCACTCACCCTTCCTTCCCTTCTTCCCTCTCCCCTTTCCTTCCTCTTTCAATTCATCAACCTCCTCTCCTTCATTCTTGCCGGGGTCTGTCTTTCTCCGTAACCCTGGCCAGCCTGAAACTTGCTGTATGGACTAGGCTGGCTTTGAACTCACAGACATCTGTTTGCCTGTGCTTCTCAAGCGCTGGGATTAAAGTTGTGCGCCACCAAACCCAACATACCTCTCCTCCTCCCCACTCCCCTTTGTCTCTCTCTCTTCCTTTTTTTCCTCCTTCTGCTTTTCTGGAGACAAGATCAGCTACAAATTCATTACGTGACCCCAAGATGAACTTGAATTTCTGAAATCCTCCTGCCTCCTCCTCCCGAGGCTGGAATTACAGGCATGTGTCACCGTGCCTGGTTTGATGAAGTGCCACGGATCAAACCTAGAGCTTCGTGCATGCTGAGCAAATATCAACCAAGCCACATCCTCAGCCTATCCTTTCCCCATTTTAAGGATGGTTTCTGGGGGAGACTCAAACCCTGGACAACCTGTCCTTGAGGCAGGACACACAGCTGTGGTGACTGTCTCATGGATTTTCCCACAAGCTTATCCCTGTGTGGTTCGCCAAAGTCCCTACTGGGGGTCTGTTATGGTTTCTTTGTTGTTGTTGTTGTTGCTGTAGTCACTGATTCCAGTTTGTACCTGAGGCTAAGCTAGCCTAGAACTGGAAATGTGTGTGTATGTGTGAGCACCTAAGTGTGTGCTCAACGTGGGTGTGTCAAAGTCAGAGGACAACTTGCAAGAGTTGGTTCTTACCTCCTGACCTGTGGGTTCTGGGAATTGATCTCGGGTCTTTAGCCGAGCCATCTCAGCTGCCCCTTAACTTTCTCCCATTCTCACTGTCTGCGTGGGTGAGTGTGGGCGCATGTGCCATGTTCTGTGTGTGGAGGTCAGCGGACTTTCCAGGGGTCAGTTCTCCCTCTCCATCATGTGGGATCCAGGGCTTGAAATCACATCATCCGCCCTGTGTGGCAAATGCTTCACCCACTCAGCCATTCCAGCCCCCAATATGGTTTTGACTCCTTGTGTTCAGCAAAAGGAAAAAGGCAAAAAGCAAGTAATGTTGCTTGCATATTATTTATTTTTATTGTTTTTGAAAATATATTTACCTGCTTATATATCAAAAGTGAAAAAAAATGCTTGTTACCAACAAAATTCAAGAACATTCATGCCCACATTTGGGGCCCCTGTGGGTACACGGTGTATGGCTGTCCAGTGCATAACAAAAAGAGGAAAAAGAGAGAGAGAAGGAGAGGGAGAGAGGGGGAAACGAAAACACAAAGAATGAGTTTTGTTTTTCTTTCCAGTGGAGGCGTAATGGATGCAGAGTGGCCTGCTATGAGATTGCATTCACGGTACCTTCTTGCGCAATGTTTCAGTAAATTGGTTTTCTGATCATACCCCCAGCTAAGGAGGCTTTCAAAAATGATTATAGGAGGAAGGTGGTTGACCGGGAGCTGGCTGTCTCTCTCATCTCCCCCGCCTCCCCACGTGTCCAGTGCTCACATACAGCAGCCGGAAATGACACACTGAAGTGAGTCACCAGTGCGGCTCTGAGTCACCCAGTAATTGGAGAAAGTTCTGTCCTGTTAGGTCACACAGTCCCTTTACCATTCTGCTCCTGAATGTATTGGAAAAATTTGAAACCACTTTGCCCTCCCTCAAATCTCTCTCTTCCACCCAATCTTTTTTTTTTCCCTTCCTCTTCTTCCTTTAACGTGGGCTGCCAAGCATCACCTTGGCAAGGTCCCTAGGGAAAAAAAGCCACGGAGGGTGGGGGTAGGGGCGGGGGTGGGGAGCATTGGGGTAAGGGTGCGTTAGGCCACCACTAGGCGGCAGTGTGAGCCCCATCACGGGGACCACCAGGAGGGCAGGCTTGTGGAGTGAGGCTCCTGAGAGACAGGGATATAGACCCCAAACGGGACACCGTGTGCCATGGTTTAAATAAAATGCTTTTTTTCTTAACAGTGCTTCTTCTTTCCAACCAGCATACAAGAGGGAGAATGAGATAAATAGTCAAGCACACCCCCGGCATCTCCCCCGCACCCCCTCAGTGAGACTGCGGATGAAGAGCCAGGCACACACACATCTGATCTTTCTTTCCCTTCCCAAAAGAAAACTGGGTTGTGAGTGAAGATAAAGAAGCTATGTAAACAAGTCTCCTACACTCTGAAAGAACCTCTGCACGCTGTGTCGGGGAGGGACAAGAGGAACTGGGCTCCATACTGGGCAAACACCCAGTCTGTCCATCTGCTGCCCGTCGGAGCTGGGCAAGGTGGTCATCCCCACGGTGGACCTTGAGATAAGGCGGCATTTCTTCCTTTGCCTGTGGACACCCACCTCAGCAGCGGCAGACGGTGCAAGAGGTGGCCACAGTGTGATTTTTGCCCCAGCATGCTGAGGGAAAGCCCTGAGGCCCCTTGGGGCGTTGGTGGGACCTGGGTCCAAAGGCTGAACGGGAGAAAGATGAGCAGATGAAGGTTCTGTGAGGTCGAGGGTCTGGATCAGGGGAGTCTGCCTCCAGTGAGGGAGTTAGACACTTTCCCCTTCGAGAGTCTGAGGTCTGGGAGGCTGGCCAGAAGGGAGAAAGAAATGCCTTCTCCTTCTCCCAAAAGAACACTTAGAATAATTCTCTTCTTCAGAGTTTCTGCTTATTACAGCTCCAGTTTCATCCCGAGCGAAGGCCTCTCTTCTGGCTATCAAGGCTCCATCACTTGGCCCATGAAGAGGTTCGTCTCTGTGGGTAGAGGAATCATGCATGCCAGGTGAGAATCAGAGCAGGTGAGTGAGGGGCAAGTGACTGAGTTAGGACTGGGGTCCTGGCACTGTGTGGGCTATGACGGGGTGCTGGGTTGGAGCGGAACTGAGCTCCAGAGCCTTCACTGAGTCCCTAAAGGCTCGAGGGACATCTACATGGTGGGCAGGTCTATCATGGTTTGAAGAAATAGCAGGAGGGGAGGAGAGTGCTGTGGGTTTTGCTCACCTGTTGGATTGTGCCGAACCACAAAGAGGAAGGGTCGGTCCATAACCACCTCCTGAGGGGCCATGCGGCTTGAGACAACAATGGCTGAAAGAGAAGAAACCATGTGTTAGGGTTAGAGGGACGCTGTCATTGGTGTGATCCTAAGAGATCCAGTGACCCCAGTCTATCTGGGGGCAGCACTGGGAGATGATATTCAGGTGGTTTAAAGGAAACCAATAGTGGGTGTGAAACCCTGAGCCTCGGACATGCTAAGGCAAGAGTGCTATAGTTGAGCCACACCCGAGCCCCTCACTGGGGGACTCTAGGCAGGGGCTCTACCACTGAGCCACACCCCAGCCCCTCAATGGGGGATTCTAGGCAGGTGCTCTACCAATGAGCCATGTCCCCAGCCCCTCACTGGGGGATTTTAGCAGGTGCTCTACTAATGAGCCATGCCCCCAGCCCCTCACTGGGGGATTCTAGGCAGAGGCTCTACCACTGAGTCACACTCCCAAGCCCCTCACTGGGGGATTCTAGACAGGGGCTCTACCACTGAGCTACACTTAGCATACTGCTAAGCAAACTCTTTGAATCCACTTTCCACTGCGGCAACACCTCAGGTCTTTCTTTGGGGTGATTGTCACATCCTGGGACCCCAGGAGCCATGGATGGGGCAGCAGTGTCCCAGGGGAAGTGAATCCATTTCCACATGAGAAAGAGGTTTGGGGAAGGGTGGTGATGGACCTGCTCTAGCTCCCTGCAGGGCTATTGTTGTCCCAGGTTGGTGGACCGACCCTGGCAGAGCCACACTCACCCGTGGAGGAAGACGCCACTGTGCCGCTCTCGTTCACCTCGATCTTGACTTTCTGCAGGGCCTGAGCTACAGAGAGCTGCTCCTTGTCTGAAACAGAGGGGAGCAGAACACAAAGGGCAGGTTAGCCACCACTCTGTCCTCTCCAGGGGACTCTGACCTGTGGAAGTAATAAAGTGAGAGGGTTCTAGCTCACCAGAAAGACTGGAGAAGTCAGCCTGGGCTGGGTTAAACATGTCAGTCATGCCCAGATTCTCCAGGGGCCCTTTGAGGTCCACTTCAGTCTCCAGAGAGAACCTGTGGGCAGGAGCAGGGAGCAGCGTTAGCGTGACCCTCAAATGGCTGATTCTCCCAGGACCTACCAGGTATCCGCTAGGATAGTGGGATGGGGTAGCAACTGACATGAGCATGAAGACCTGGCTTTTATTTGCCTTGACCCAGGAGCTCATGTAGCCCAGGCTGGCCCCAGACTCATTATGTAACCAAGATGATCTTGAACTCCTGATGCCCCTGCTTCTCCCTCCCGGTGCTAAGGTTTGCAGATGTGCACCACCATGCCTGCTTTATGTGGGTCCAAACCAGGAGCTCCAAGTTAGGCAAGCAGTCCACTAACTCAACTACTTCCCCAGCCCTGACTTTGAAGGGATCCCCCTGCCTCCAGCACCCTAGGACAGGATTAGAAGTCTTTGAAATCTCATTTGGCTAGGTGGGGGGTCAGGCCTTTTTCCCCCCTCCTTGCCAGAAATGTCTAATATTAATGAGCAAAGTGCAGCATCTCCACCCCCTCAAGCCCGTGACTAATGGCTTTCCCCAAATAAGACAGCAGTTAGAACATAATTGTATTCCGTTTGACTGCGGGAGAGGGACAGGTTCACATCGACCTGTGCGGGTGCTGGGGATAACTGTGGTCTGCAGGCTGTTTCTGAGCGACTCACACAGTGAGGCTTTGGGGGGGGGGCCCTGCTTCCCACCAGGGCATGACTCATTATCTCCATCTTGATGAGAGAGGAAGGCAGTGGAAGCTCGGGAGCTAAAGCGACTCAATCCCCCCCTTTCTCCAAGCCTGGCATTAGAGCATCTGGGAGTTTAGGGGAAGCCTGGGCTGGGAGCTTCCCTATAATTCTGGAATTACCCAGACACAACCCTCTCCACCCCTTTTGATTCTGCAGAGGATTAGGGGAAAAGAGATTTTTTTTTTTTTTTTTTTTTAAGTCTCAGTCTGGAGCTGTGGCTGCTCCTCTGCCTGGTCTTGGAGTGGATGGTGCGCAAGGGAGGAGGTGGGGATAGGAACAAGCCGGAGAATAATTTAGAAGCCCCTACGTATGTATTTCTCTAGCTCCTCTTTTGGCTGGTCTTTTTTTTTAATTCTTTTTTTTTTTTTTTTGATGGGGTCTCATGTAATTCAGGATCAGCAAGAGGGTGACCTTGAACCCCTGATCCTCCTGCTTCCAGCCCCCTCGTGCTGAGATTGAGGTTATGCAGCAGCGCTGGGGATCCAGTCTAGGGCTTTGCATATGGAAGGTGAGCACCCTGACAACTAAGCTCCACCCCTTTCCCTGCGCCCCTCCCCCTCACGAGATAGGGTCTTGCTGCATATAGCCCAGGTTGGCCTTATCCTAAGTGTGAGGATTACAGATTTGTACCCCCATGCCTGGTCTGTGTGGGTTCGAACCTGGGGCTTCATGCATGGCATGGGAGCACTCTACCAACTGAGCTATGGCTTCAGCAATCTTGCTCCCCATAGCCAAGGCCCGAGCTCTCAAGCACTGAGGCTGCAGGCTTGCACCCTCCACTTCGGTGGACTTTGACTGGGTTTTTGGTGCATGGCTTCTGCGGGGATAGATTTTATAAAAATCTATCTCCTCTCCAACAGTAGAGACATTCTCCAAGTGTGATGATGAAATAAGAAACCATAATCAAACCCAGGCTAAAAGGTTTCCCATCAGCCTCCCACACATGTCCCTTCCTTGTGGGTGTTCCCCATCCGGGAAACTGCCCATGGGGACGGTGGCTTCAGGAGAGATGGTGGATGCTGGGACTAGGGTGTTGGCGAGTGGGATGGCTTACTTGGGCAGGATGAGGAGCCGGGGCAGTCTGGTCATGTTCCCTTTCCATTGTCGGATGAGCTCAGCATCCAGAATGTTGGTGAGGGCAGAGAGGGGCACGTCCTTCTCGTAGGGCGCTGCGATGAACATGCTGAGGGTTTCGCCATGATAGGGCAGTTCCAGGATGTCGTAGTAGTGGCCATCAGGAGTGGTGAATTCAGCTGGGAAGAACCAAGATGGCACCTTGGAAATGGCTCCAGCTCACGTGGATTCCTCCCTAACTCTCCTCCTGCGTCTCTTGTTTCCTCTCCTTCTAGAAGACCGAGCTCTCTGTTCTAGTTTTGGAGTTCTGTCACCCAGTCTACATGGCATTCCAATGTTTTCCTTTCATCTTTTAACTAGCTGTAGTCAAGGATGGCCTTGAACTTACTCTCCACCACACCCGGCTTTTGAGCTAAGCATGGAACCCAGGGCTTTACTGATGCTGAGTGAGCTTTCTCCCTAAGCCACACCCCCACATCCTCCTATTTTCTCCCTCCTGACCTTCACTGATTTCTGTCTGACCCCAGCCACTAATTATTCCCATCCTCAGCCTCTAAATCTCAACTTCCACACAGTTTTCCCCTCTCTCTGGGCTTGTTCGCCTCAGGTAACGACACTAGAAACCTCTTAGAAGAGATGGGCTTAACGGTCGGGCAGATGTGGGTCAGGAAGACCGTCTCCATTTCAGCTTCACCTAGCATGAAAGAAGCTGGGACTTTTCCTGCTTCTTGGATTATCTCAGTATGTCCTGCTTGGGAAGTCATTGTAATAACTTGGGTGTGTCCACCTCTCTGCCATCTTCCTCCCTCTGACAGTGACACTGGATGCTGCCCAGGGTCTGTTGTTGTTAAAAGGTAGGGACTGGGGATCTTGGACTCACTGTAGTTGAACTTGTTGGTCTGAGCCATCATGGGCACAGAGACGGTGCTGCCGTCAGACTTATGGAAGAGGCGGTGGTGGGTGCTGGCCTCTGAGAAGGGGGTCTTCCATTGGCCATTGAAGTAGAGGGCGTTCACCAGCACGAGACGTGTCAGCTGGTCCACAGCCCCTTCGGCAAGTAAGTCACTGATCATACCTAAGGGAAAGCAAGGTGAGATGGCTTTTAAGCATCTTTGATGCTTCCCTGCTACTCCCTGTTCTCAAACAGGTGTTTGTTGAGGGATGCAAAGAGCTGCTGGGGGTTAAATGGGTCAATTTGTTTTAAGAGTCTTGGGATGTCTTCCAGCTCAATACCCCCCCATTTCATTCCTTCTCTCCCTTCTCTCTTCCCCTTTTTTCCTCTTCATAGTACAGCCTACTCCAGAGCTCACCCAAAGCCTAGGTTGGCCTTGAGTTCATGGTAGTCCTCCTGCCTCAGCTTCCCAAGAGCTAGGATGATAGGATGAGCCACATCCCTGGCTTCACCACATTTTTCTTGGCTTTGGGATCTAGTTTAGCATCAGAATTAGACACCTATGCCTTCTCTCATTACACCTCTCCTCTCAGCCTCTAAGCTGTAATCTTGGAGGCTTGTCCACACACGCGGAAGTTCCTGCTGTTCTTACTGAAGGTCATGTCTTTCCATTGGCTTTGCTTCTGTTTGTTTGTTTTAAAAAATTATTTATTATTATTGTGAGGGGAAGTATGAGGTGTGGGGGGGTGCGTGCATGCCAAGTGGAGGTCAGAGGACGACTTATGCAGAGTTGGTTCTCTCCCTTCCCCATTTCTGTGGCTTCCAGGAATCAAATTCAGGTCACCAGGCTTCACGATAAAAGCCGTTACCTGTGGAGCCATCTTGGTGGCTCTGGTGGGTTTTGGTTGTTTTATCTATCTATCTATCTATCTATCTATCTATCTATCTATCTATCTATCTATTTGGAGGTGGGGTGGAGTAGCTAGAACTACAGGTATATGCAATGGTTTGAATTGGCTAGTTTTCTCTCTCTAGTGTTTTTGTTTTGTTTTGTTTTTTTTGTTTTTGTTTTTGACAGGATCTTACTGTGTAGTTCAGGCTAACCCCAAATTCATGATTTTCCTACAGGAATGACCCATTACACCCAGCTCTGAGTGGTCTTATGAAAAAGTCTAACCAAGACAAACAGGGTTTTGGGTTAGAGCTCAGTGGTAGAGCATGTGCCTACCATCCCCCAGTGAGAGGCTGGGGTGTGACTCAGTGGTAGAGCACCTGCCTAGAATCCCCAGTGAGGGGCTGGGGATGTGCCTTTAGAAGCAGAGGATTGTCCAGCAAGCATGAGGTCCTGCCTCCCATCCTCAGCACCACAGGAAGAGAGGAAAAGGACAAACATTCGCCTTTTATCCTCAAATACAAAGCTGAAAGTGAGAACTGAGGATAGGTGAATTTAACATGGAATTCCCTTTCTCTGCACGCGCCTCGGGACTGGCCTACCTTCCCTGCCACTTACGTCTGGTGTGCCTCTCCACCCAGTCATTGATGATGAATCTGGCTCTCTCCACCTCCAAGAAGTCCACCTGCTTCACCGTGGTCCGGAAGAGCTTGAAGAAGTGGGGCATGAAGCCCTGGACCAGCTCCAGGTCCCGCTGGACGAAGATGGCGTCCGCAGTGCTAATCTCATTCTTGTTCCATGGCCCCGTGAGCTCCTTGGACAGCCGACGGAGGGCAGGAGCTGTACCCTTCTCTGTAGAGGTAACAGAACAGGATCCATTATTCTCCTGTTGAGCCAAGGGCTTTCGTCTGGACCAGGTTTCCCAAAGAAGACCTCGCCCCGCTCAGGTGGATGAGGCTCTTTCATCCCTCCAGCAGTCAGTGGAGGAGCATAATTGTACCTCTTTCTTTCTCTCTCCCTTTTTCTCACCATCCCTCCCTTCTTCCTTATTTTTTTGTTCATTTTTTTGAAACCAGGTCTCACCAGACACCTCTGGGTAGTCAGACATTACTGTTTAGTTCAGGCTGGCTTTGAACTCACAGAGAACTGCCTGCTTCTGCCTCCTGGGACTAATGGTGTGGACCACTATGCTGCCTCTCTCTCTCATACTTTCTTCTCCTCTCCCCACTCCTCTCCCAGGAGGGTCTCACACAGTAACTCAGACTGCATAGACCGGTTTGCCGCTCATTATATAGCCCTAGATATCTTGGAAGCTAACAGAAATTCCTCTGCCTTCCCCTCCCCTGTGCTGGGATTAAGAACATACACCGCTAGACTCAGCTCTCAAATTTTAACCCTTTGTGCATCCTTCCCCCAAAAGTCTCAGCTCCTAATACTTTCCTTACATTAGAACATTCTTCTCAGTTCTTAAATCATAAGCACAAGTTTGCGTCCACCGCCCCCATCCCCAACAGTCCTCCTAAGGGCCACAAGTGCTGGCATTACAAGCACAAGTCACCACCCTGTTTGACTTGCTCTTCTGTTTGGTTTCGGGACAGGGTCTTGCTCTCTAGCCCAGCCTGGAGTGGAGCTTGCCTAGGCTAGCCTTGAATTCATAGCCCCCCTCCCTCAGCCTGCCATGGGCTGGGATTACAGGTTTGTACCACCATACCTAGCTAGGTTGTTTGCATAATAACGGTGTTGTCAAGTAATTCAAGTTCACGATCCTATTACACATTAACCCTGTGTGGTAGACACTTTTTCAGGCATTCCCCATTTTATAGACAATAAGACTGAGGTTTTCAAGAGTTAAGGTCATTGTACACCATCTCCAGTTTTATTTGGTATTGGGGATGGAACCCAGGGCCTTGTGCATGCTAGGTAAGCTGTATCCCCAGCGTCATGGGGATATAAGCACAGTTTGGATGTTCTGTACCTACTGGCTGGTACACCATAGACAATTCAAGGCCATCTGACCGAGAAGCTGGAGAGAAAACGGTTGGACCCTGGACTGCAGCTGAACACGGCCTGACTGGGGGATGCTGGAGTGAGTCTTCGCTACCTTCTCTGCTCTGTTTGCTCTGGCCCCTAGTCTGTGAGGACCTCGTGACTCTCCCCCTCTCGCTCTGCCCCGTCTCTCACCATTGATTTTGAATCCCATGGCATCCTGGATCTGCTGCTGGGTTTTCCCTGCCGTGGTCAGCTGCAGCATGGCCAGCACTGAAGACACCCCGTAGGGAGAGAAAACCACGTTCCGGTCCTGCGAGGCCTGTACCACATGCTTAAACACTTTGACGCCGAAGTCAGTGGCCTGGTGGATTGTGCGGGACTCGTGATGTAAAACAGAGCCTTCCCCAAAGACCAGAACCAGGCCCAGGGTGAGGCAAGCTAGTGCTGGCGTCTGCATCCTAGGATAAAAGGGAGAGAATCTGATAAGGAAAGGATTCTGGAAGACATCCCGGAGCCGGACCTGGTGCCTCAGCCATGGGCTAGGTTCTCTGTGTTTGTCTCTAGCCTGTAAGAGATCAGTCTGGTAAATTCACATTCATTAAGATTCCATAGTGGGATTGGATGATGAGCTCACCCCCTTCTGCCTCCAACCAATTCTTTCCATCTTTTCCAGACAGAGTCATGTTATGTTGTCCAGGCTGGTCTTGAACTCAGGGTCCTCCTGTTTCAATTCTTCCAGGTACTGGGATTACAGGCATGCCTTATTGCCCATAGATGCTACCTGAGTTTTGATCCCAGGCCACCCTCGTTTTTGACCTGTGGAAATCTTAGAGAAGAGCCCCTGTGTCTCTTTTCCCTTCTGTGGGACTGAGAACTTTGGATAATGACAGCTTTTGATTTACAAGTTGGTTTGTTCGTTTGTTTTCTCTTATCACAATTCCCCAACTACTGCTTGTTCCTTTTAGCAGTATGAAAAAGTTCTCTGGGGCCAGGAGGACAGCCAAGTGGGTAAAGGCACTTGCCACCAAGTCTGCTGACCCGAGGTCTAGTCCTGGGACCCCCATGGCAGAAAGAGCGGACTCCTGAAAGTTGTCTTCTGCTTTCCACACTTGAACTGTGACACACGAATGCGCACACCACACATACACGCATGCACATACAAATGCAATTTTTAAAGTTTTGGTTTGGATTTTTTCCTTTCCATCCCATCCTTTCCTTTCCTTTCCTTTCCTTTCCTTTCTTTTTGGTTTTGTTTCTCTGTGTAACAGTCCTAGCTGTCCTGGAACGAGCTCTTATAGACCAGGCTGGCCTCGAACTCACAGAGATCCGCCTGCCTCTGCCTCCGGAGTGCTGGGATTAAAGGCGTGCGCCACCACCACCGCCTGGCTTGGTTTTTCTTTTAAGTAAAGTTTCTTTGCTAAAGTGAGAAAGGGGAGGTTTTCTGGGGAGGCCCCGAGAGACAGCATCTTCGCTTCTAGGATCCAGGGTTGGAAGTGGAGTTTGACCATCTTTCTCGACCACCTGCGGTCCTGGGTGGGCTAAAGCCTGCGGAGTTCCAGAACAGGGCGGAAAAGAAATGCCTTCTGGGAAGGGAAGGTCACCTTCCTAACGTAATTTTAGGCCTTAGGAAAGAGCTCGCCTTTCTCCTACCTGGAGTTTTCCAAGGTGCCCTGTGATTGACTCTTCTTCCCGCTTGCTGGCTGTTGCTCAGCTGTGGTTGGTTGCGTTCTGCAGGAGGCGGGAGTGCAATGGTCCTCTTTCGCGGCTCTGCAGCAGCTTGCTCCAGCTGTGCCGTCCTGTGGCTCCTGTCTCCCTTTATACCAGATGTGGGCAGGAAACAGATGAACTCATGTTCCAGCCCCACCCACTTTCTAACTCTGGAAATGTCTGGGCTGCCTGCCCGCCCTCCTCCCCCTCCCCCCTCCCTCCCTCCCTCCCTCCCTCCCTCCCAGGGATTTGCTGGGACATGTGTGTACGTGTGCTGGAGGGCATGCCGGATAATTGAGCAAACCCTGGTTGCCTTGATTGGAACATCCCAGTCAATTTGCCTTTGGCTGGTCGGTCGGCTCAACCCCCGGTGGCACCACAGAGCTTACAACGCCTAGTGTCTGGGACTCCCTTCCCTGGTTCTCAGCTTGCAGCCACATGACTGGGTTTGCCCCTTTGCTTTGGAGGAACTCATCCCAGAGAAGCTATGGAGCTTGTTAGGGCTGTCTGCCCCTTGTGCACCTTGGGCCTACCTCCAGGAAAAGTTGGCCTGGCCTTCCCTTGGGTTTCTGCCCAGTGGCCAGAGGGCATGAAATGTGCCCTGTGATTGTCTGGGTTCTGGTTCCTCTTGGGCTTGAGCCCAAACCGGAGAACTTCAGGTTCTTTCCTCCTCCCTCCAGGTGCCTGCCGGGCCTGCTGTGAAGCAGGGCTGACTCCTCACGTGGGGCCAGACTATCCTGGTGCCCTGAGGGCTCTGTCAATAGCCTTGTGTGGCTGGGTTTTGAAGTGTACTGGGTGGGGCACTGGTGGCTGGATGGGACCAGGGTTTACCACAAAAAGCCTGGTCAAGGGAACAAGGAGATGTCTGGAAGTTTTGCTGATTCGGAACAGCCTGAGACGACTCAGGGAGAAAGATGTGTTTTTTTTTTTTTTTAAGATTTTATTTTTATCAACTATTTATTTATTTACTGAGAGAGTCTATCATATAGCCCCAACTGGGGAACTTAAATCTGGAGTTCTGGCTGGCTCCCAGCTCCCAGCTCCCAGCTCCCAGCCTGCTTCTGCCTCCCGACACTGGAGGTGTGCTCACCACGTCCAGCTTTATTCTTAAATTTTAACTGTGTGTGTATGCGTGTGTCCATTCGAGGGGATGTGCAGGTAGAAGCAGGGGCATGTCAGGTTCCCTGGAGCTGGAGTTACAGGCAATTGTGTGCTGTAACTCCACCGAGTACTCTGTTCATTGTGGGTGTGTAGCGGTACTTAGGTCCTCTGCAGGAACGGTATGTGCTCTTAAGGGCTGAGCCGTCTCTCTAGACCCCAGAGGACACTTTAGAGTTTGCTTCTCCCCTGGATGTAGACATAGGCGGGCTGGAGCCACAGGAGCAGGGATAGAAAGAAACAGAATATATATCACGGTGGGGGTCTGGTCCTAGACCATCATGATCCTGGGGAGGAAGAATGACTGAGGAGCTTTTAAAAAAATTAATTAATTAATTTTTTGAATACTCTCATGCTGATGCAGCCCAGGCTAGCCTTAAACTCATTATATAGCCAAGGATAGCCTGGAGATTCTGATCCTCCGCCTCCACCTCCCATGCAGTACTGGGGCTCGAACCCAGGACTCTGCACATGGTAGGCAAACTACCCACCGAAACGCTGCTTTCCCAGTCTCAGGCTTTCTTTAGCGGGTGAACATTAGGGCAGCACCTAAGAGGACCAGGCTGCTGCCTCCCAAGGTTGGACAGACTCAAACGCCCATTGTGACCCCAGACCCTGTGACTAGAGAAGGTCAAGGCGGTCCGGCCGTGGGAGCTGAGAAGGCACTCTGGCCTTGGGGTTCACGTGCTGTCATCTTCTGTATAGGTGACAGGGTTCACTTGGCAGTATCCATGGAGACAGCTGGCTGGCGAGTCATGGGAGGTTTAAGTGGGTGGTAGAGCGAGGATGTTTGTTTTGGATTTTCAATAAACAGATACCAGGGCAACCAGTCCTACAGAGTTTTCTCATGGCGACCCTGCCTCCAGAGCCAGGTGGGGGAGGGAGGGTTGAGGAGAGAGGGGAAACCTCGGTTGGAAATTTAGGCTCACAGGCCAAGCAGAGAGGCGTTCTGGCCCAGCTGCTGTTTGTTTTGTTTTATTTCATCTTTCTCACCCCTTTCTCATCGTGGCTGCTTGCCTGGGAGGGAGAGGCAGATGTTCTGGGCCATCTCTGAGGAAGATGACAAAGACCAGACCCAGCCTCCTCTCTTACCCCTAGACACATTTCCAGATGCCACACCCTCAGTCCTTAGCGGTCAGGGGCCCAGGAGCTGGATGTCCCCAAGGTTTCAGAAGCGGGGCGGGTAGAGATTGCAGCTGGAGGTGAGCCTCCTTGGGTTCTCTAGCTGGGAAACTGAGGAACCCTCTCTTCCGCTCCCTGCCTCTCTCAGATTTTTCTAGATCTCTCCTTTCAGGGGCGGGGCGAGACTCTGCCAGGGTGCAAGCAGCTTTTTCCTGACTGGTGTCCCAATACACTGTTCCAGGTCTCAGGGGAGCTGGATAAGGGCTCAGTGTCCCTTCTGGAGTTGGGGCAAAGAGGAGATGCAGGGACCATGGTCAAATCTGGGTTCGAGGCCAACTCAGTAGTCCTAATTCATAAAGAAACAGAGGCCTCATTCTGCTAGGCTATGCCTCAGTTTGTATATTTTTATCTAGTTATTTGTTTGTATATATGTGCATGTCCATGTGTAGGCAACGTGTGATGTGGAGGCTGGATGAGGGACACCCTTTTCTTAGGAAATGGAAAGCTCTGAGTCTCTCTCTTTCTTTCTTTCTTTCTTTCTTTCTTTCTTCTTCCTCTCTTTTCCTTTGGTGGGGAAGACACTAGAGATAGAGCCATGTTATATAAGCCTGAATGTTCCGGAACTCACTATATAACTCACAGCAATCCTCCTGCCTCTACCTCCCTAGTGCTGAAATAATAGGCATGCCCATCTTTTTTGTTTTGTTTTGTTTTTTCCTTTGAGACAGGATCTTACTATGTAGCCCAGACTGGCACTGTTCACAATCCTGCTTTAGTGTCACAAATGCCGGGATGACGGATGTACCAACATGGACAGAACCCTAACGGTACCTCCAAACTGAAGGGGACCCATGGGCATCTAGTGGGTGGGTTTTAGAAACTGAGTCAATGGGCCTATGAGTTGGCTCACTGGGCAGAAGTGCCTGCTGCCAAGTTTGATGACCTGAGTTCAATCCTGGGGACCCACACGATGGAAGGAACAAACTGATTACCACATGGAAGCTGTCTTCCAGCCTCTACATCACACGTTGCCTACACATGGACATGCGCATATAAACAAATAAAGAACTAGATAAAAATACAAACTGAGGCATAGCCTAGCAGAATGAGGCCTCTGTTTCTTTATGAATTAGGGCTGCTGAGAAGGCCCCCAAACCAGATTTGACCATGGTCCCTGCATCTCCTCTTTGCCCCATGACCTTATCTATCCTCGAACACAGGATGCAGATTCCTGCGGGCTTCCTGGAGGAAGGGGGGGTGTCTTACCCTAACCCCCAAGCCCTCTTAGGGACACCCTTCTCAGAATCTAACCTGAGTCACCGGCTTGTGTCACTTTCCCTTTTTCTTCCCCACTAGAACCCCAAAACCACTTTGACCTCATCATCTTCTTTAACTTTTGACCCTTTGGTCAGCGCGGGGGAGGGGAGGGAGCGAATGAACAGAAAGAAAAGTCCGGGCTGTTGAAATAGCTCAGCCCTTGATTTGCCTGGGATCAGAGATAAGAGCACGTGCCTTACATGGAGCTGTGGATTTCTGGGAAGGTTCCAGGATCAACTCCACAGGAAAATGGCTCTCTCTGGTCCCTTGGCAGGTAGTTTGTCATTGGAGGGAACTCATTCTTTCCATGACTGTCCCCTACCCCAACTCCTACCCCTGCACTCTCTTACAGAGCAGCAGGCTCCACTGGGGCCTCAGGAGTCGTGATCCTAGGTCCATGGCCCTTCCCTGCTTTTAGTGTGTGTGTGCGCGCGCATGCGTGCGTGCGTGCGCAGGTCAGCCTTGGTGGCACGAACCTTCATTTGCTGAGCTGTCTCCCAGCGGCCCCTCTTCCCTTTTCCTTTTGCCCTTCCTGTTTGCATCTCTAGATCTCCCCTCTCCCCCAGACGAGACGTCCGTCCGTGTCACTCAGGATAAAGCTGCTCCTTACTTCCTCTTCTGGTCTCTCTCTTACACTCTTTGTCATGTCTCTCAAAGGAGATGGCGCCCCCACTCCCTCTCCTCGACGTCTGACTCAATCCCTCTTTCCTTCTCCTTTGCCTCCTGGAATCCCTCTACAGTCAGTCTGGGCTTCAGGGCTCTTCCTCTGGGGAGGAGGTTCAGCCTCCTGCTAGTTACACAGGCTCCTAGGAATGCTGGGTCCGGCCCCCCAAGCCTGGTGATTTCACTGGGAGAGCCGGGGGTGGGAGAAGACAAGACCCCCCCCCCTCGCCGCCCCCCCCTCCCCCCCCCCCCCCCGCCCACCCTCACTCTAACTCACTGCACTATTCCTGGCCTGGTGGCTTTCCAAAGAACACAGTTCTGAAAATAGCCCATGTTTGGGCTGGACTGCTTCTGCCCTTTCTAGGAGTGAGCTGGGCGGAGTGGTCAGTGCCTTGGCTGCTGTTCATTGGCAATCATGGCTCCGGACTGTCCCATATGGCCTGTCTGGTGTCAGCCTGTCTGGGTTCTCCTCTCCTACCTTCATAGACGCAGCCCCTTGGGTCTCTTTCCTTCTGTAGCCCATGGCCAGCCATTGTCCTTTAACTTTCAGATTAAGTTCATACTTGCTCTGGGTCCCCACAGTATAGTCCATGTTTAAATGGTGTGTGTGTGGTTTTGTGTGTGTGTATCAAACTCTGGCTTCCAGGCTTGTGTAGCCTTTAACTACTGAGCTATCTCACCACTCACCAGCTCTGACACACACACACACACACACACACGTTTCAAAATTGAGGGTCATAAAAGTTCACTGAGCCGGGCGGTGGTGTCACACACCTTTAATCCCAGCACTCGGGAGGCAGAGGCAGGCA